AGCTTTGTTCCTTGGTTTTGGGCCACCCAGTCTCTGCCTTGTGGTTATGTTGCCGCCTCGTCTTGTCTGTCATCAGCTCTCCCTTCACCCACCTCTTAAAAGCATACATGTGGTTATATGTAGGGTTGACTCACATAATCTGGGCAGATGGCCCCATCTCAAAATCCTTAACTTAATCACACCTTTGAAGAAGTGTTTATGTGTTTTCTTTGCTCCTGTCAGGTGACATTCACAGATTCCAAGGTTTAGGACATGGATGGATGTCTTCTGGGAGCCATTTTCTAACCTACCACAAGGGGCTATTGGTGGGTTTTGTCTTCAATGTATGGTCATACATTAACAGTGGGAATCCATCGTGAGAAATGCATCAGTAGGATACTTGGTTGTGTGAAGAGTGCCCCTGCACAAACCCAGGTGGTGTATAGGTCAATCACTTGATGTAGCTTCTTGCAACCAATGATTCAGTCAACACAAAATGTATGATTGTTGCTGGCATTAGATGCGTACTATTGTTGTTTGAAAGAGAAAGAGAAGAAGGAGAGACAGTCTGACAGGCAGCTTCCATCTGCTGGTTTACTCCCCAAATGCCCACAACAGCCAGGGCTGTGGCAGGCCAAAACTGAGAGCCAGGAACTCCATCCAGATCTCCCCTGTGGGTGGTAGGGACCCAAGTGCTTGAGCCATCACATGCTGCTGCCTTCCCAGAGTGCGCATTAGCAGGAAGTTGAATCAGAAGCAGAGCCAGGACTCAAACCAGGTGCTCCAATACAGGATGCAGGCAAACCAGGCACACCAGTATGGGGTCTTAACTACTCAAACCAGGTCCCCAAAGGTATCTTACACACTGTGCCAAATACCTGCCCCCATACTATTAATAAGCTTTTCTAAATAAATAGGGGTAAATTCTATAATTAAATGATAAACAGAATAGTATAGTAAATACCTAAGCCAGCAACATATTCATTCATTATCCTTGTCAAATAATATGTGCCATGCTTCTAAAAATTCATGGAAAATGGATTTTTAAAAGATTTTTTGTTTATTTATTTGAAAGTCAAGTTACACAGAGAGAGAACGAGAGGCAGAGAGAGAGAGGTCTTCCCTCCGCTGGTTCACTCCCTAAATGGCCTCAACGGCTGGAACTGCGCCAATCCAAAGCCAGGAGCCAGGAATTTTCTCCAGGACTCCCACTTGGGTGCAGGGGCCCAAGCACTTAGGCCATCTTCTACTGCCTTCCCAGGCCACAGCAGAGAGCTGGATTGGAAGTGGAGCAGCTGGGACCCGAACCAGCGCCCATATGGGATGCCAGCACTGCAGGCGGCAGTGCTACCTGCTACGCCACAGCACCAGCCCTGGAAAAATGGATTAAAAGATATTTATTTTGGCACAAAAAAAATGAAATTCAGTCAGAGTTTATTCATAATATGCATTTTCCAATAACTTTTTGAAGGCCCCTTGCACGGATTTCATTTGGTGGGGGGGGTACAAAAATAAACTAATCTTTTCATTGCATCTTCAAGAATGTGTGAAAGTGCCCTGGTATGTGCAGTACTTTTTGCCCCACTGGCAACACAGTAGATTTGTTTACAGCGGTAGCATCACAAGTACAAGGGAAATGCCTGCACTGGGACAGTTTTACAGTGGCTGTAATATCACTAGATGACAAGGATTGCTCAGCTCCATTATAATCTTTTTAAAGATTATTTATTTATTTGAAAGGCAGAGCAACAGAGGTAGGGGTAGGGGTAGAGGTAAAGAAAACACACATTCTTGGGGCTGGCGCTGTGGTGTAGCAGGTAAAGCTGCTGCCTGCAGTGCCAGCATCCCATATGGGCGCTGGTTCGAGTCCTGGCTACTCCACTTCTGGTCTAGCTCTCTGCTGTTGCCTGGGAAAGCAGCAGATGATCCAAGTCCCTGGGCCCCTGCACCCACATGGGAGACCCTGAAGAAGCTCCTGGCTCCTGGCTTCAGATCAGCCCAGCTCCAGCCATCGCGGCCATTTGGTTCACATTTATGTGAACCAGTGATTGGAAGGCTTTCTCTCTCTCTCTCTCTCTCTCTCTCTCTCTCTCTCTCAGCTTCTGTAACTTTGCCTTTCAAATAAATAAATAAATCTTAAAAGAAAAGAACACACACTCTTCCAGCTGGTTCACTGCCCACATGGTGGTATCTGCAAGGTGTAGACCTGGCCAACAGAGCCTGGAACTCCATCCCAGTTTCCCACACAGGTGACAGGGACCCAAGCACTTGGGCCACCACCCACTTCCTTCCCAGGTACATTAACAGGGAACTGGATTGAAAGCAGAGCAGCCAGGACTCAAACCATTGCTCCAGTACGTTGTACTGGCATCAAAGGCGTGCTTCACCTGCTGCACCACAACACCAGCCCCTCCGCTATAACCTTATGGGACCACTTTGGTATATGTGGCCCATCATTGGCAAAAAGCTTATGAAGCAGCACCATGGGAAGTTCATCCCCAAAGAAAGAAAGAGGGTGCTGGGGCAGACAGAGGCAGGGATGCAGTCATCAGCAAACAGCTCTTTCTTCCTAGTGCATGCATTTTTTGGATAAAAAGGGACTGGAGCCTTAGGTATTGTTGCTGGCTTGTCTTTATAAAGGCTGTGGATATTAGAAATAGAGATGACTTAGAGATTCTTCCACACTAATTTTTAGCATTTCCTGAAAAAAGAGCTGACCAGCATGATCGATTTTGCACCAAGAGAAGACTTTGTTCTGAGGGCAATCATTGGGAGAAATCAACCTGGGCAGATGGGAAGTGAGTCTACCCTCTCCAGGCAGCCCAAAGAGGCGTGTCTTTGAGTTTGAGAGGACGGGGCCTTGAATCACAGCTGGAATGGGTCCTGCTGTAATAAAGGAAAGATGGGAGCCCCTTCAGTGTGGGTAAAACCTGCACTGATGTCATCACTGAGGCTGGCATCTGTAGGGTCTGTACTGTGGAACCAGTAGATCAACTGATTGAAATGTCCTGTCATCCTAACCCTCTGGCCAGGAGTGCTTTCACAGGCGCTTCCATCTCCTGGGGACTGTGCTCTGGTAAGGTTGTTGGGCCTTCATAAAAGGCAGTGGGTTGGCAAAAAAAAAAAAAAAACACGTCAAACCCTGAGGTACCTTGAGGTACCTTTCTCTGAAGGGAGGAGAGAACTTCTACTTTGATTATGGCCTTGTCTAAATAAGATTGCAGTTGTTGAACTCAAGAGGCTTCCACAGCCTTGGCAGCTCATGATAAGAGCCTCAGGTGATTACTGACATCATAAATAAAAGTGTCAATTGTTAAATCAGGGGCCGGCACTGTGGCACAATGGGTTAAAGCCCTGGCCTGAAGCACCAGCATCCCATATGGGCACCGGTTCCAGTCCCGGCTGCTCTTCTTCTGATCCAGCTCTCTGCTATGGCCTGGGAAAGCAGTAGAAGATGGCCCAAGTCCTTGGGCCCCTGCACCCACGTGGAAGACCCGGAAGAAGCTCCTGGCTCCGGGCTTCAAACCGATGCAGCTCCAGCCATTACGGCCATCTGGGGAGTGAACAAGTGGATGGAAGACCTCTCTTTCTGTCTCTACCTCTCTCTGTAACTCTGTCTTTCAAATAAATAAAATAAATCTTAAAAAAAAAAAAACAATTGTTAAATCAACAGCAGGAGTCACTGTGCACTTGCTCCACATGTAGGACCTCTGTCTTTAATGTGTTGTACTATGAGAATTAATGGTAAAACTAATCTTTAAACAGTGCTTTATACTTTGTATATCTGTGTGGGTGCGAACTTGAAATCTTTACGTAGTATAGAGTTGATCTTCTGTATATAAAGATAATTAAAAATCTTAATGAAGAGTGGGATGGGAGAGGGAGTAGGAGATGCGATGGTTTGCTTGTGGGAGGGTGGTTATTGGGGGAAGAACCGCTATAATCCAAAAGTTGTACTTAAGAAATTTATATTTATTAAATAAAAGTTTTCTATTAAAAAAAAAAGCAATGGGTTGGAGCCAGAGTGGTGGTGTAATGGGTAAAGCCACCATCTACAATGCCGGCATCCCATATGGATGCTGGTTCAAATCCCAGCTGCTCCACTTCTGATTCCGCTCCCAGCTAATGTGCCTGGGAAAGCAGCAGAAAATTGCCCAAGTGTTTGAGTCCCTGCCACCCATACAGGGAGATAGACAGTGGCTCAGCCTGGCCGAGCCCCAGCCATTATGGCCATCTGAGGAGTAAACCAGCGGACAGAAGATCTCTTTCTCTCTGTTTTCTTCTTCCTCTCTCTGTTATATTGCCTTTCAAATAAATAAATCTTAAAAACAGAAGGTTGTTCTTTTTTAAAAAGACAATGGATTAGGAAATGGCACATGTCCTTGCTTTCTCTCCCATTCTCCCAGCTGTGTTTTCCTCATCTGTACAATGGGCATGAAATACAGGACTCCCAGGATGGGGAGGGGTCTGGCACAGGGTGAGTGTTAGTGATGGAGACCTGTGACTTGGTACAGTGCCCTCCCTGGTCTTGCCAAAATTTTATTTTTTTTTTTATTTTATTTTTTTTGACAGGCAGAGTGGACAGTGAGAGAGAGAGACAGAGAGAAAGGTCTTCCTTTGCCGTTGGTTCACCCTCCAATGGCCGCCGCGGCCGGCGCGCTGCGGCCGGCGCACCGCGCTGATCCGATGGCAGGAGCCAGGATCCAGGTGCTTTTCCTGGTCTCCCATGGGGTGCAGGGCCCAAGCACCTGGGCCATCCTCCACTGCACTCCCTGGCCACAGCAGAGGGCTGGCCTGGAAGAGGGGCAACCGGGACAGAATCCGGCGCCCCGACCGGGACTAGAACCCGGTGTGCCGGCGCCACTAGGCGGAGGATTAGCCTAGTGAGCCGCGGCGCCGGCCTGGTCTTGCCAAAATTTTAACCTCCTTTCATTTAGAGTATCTGAGGAAGAAAAAGCAAACTGTATCCTTATTACAGTATCACTTACTGTGTTCTCTCTTTTTCACACTTTCTTTTCCAGATGGTAACAATAAATAATCCAGATGGGGTGCAAGTGCTGTAAAATGATACAAAGGTAAAGTTGAAAAAATGCTTCGTCCAGTGGGGAGGAATGGGGAATGGGGGATTATCACGCAGTCACTTTTGGACTCAACACAGTGATCCAGCTTGGGGCACCATCAGTATTGCCAGCAAATGAGTTGTGAGAACCGTTTAGATGTCATTTAAGGGGACCTGCAGCCAGTATTTTTTATCATTTTTCCCTTACTGCTCAGACACACGGGGATCACCCTCATTCTCTGAGACTGAACCTGGTCTGGGTGGAATTTACATTTGCCCAGAGAGCTGCAGTGCCTGGGATAGCTCAGGCTTCAGAGGGTGCTGACATGGCATCATTGCCAACGAATTGCGCCCACCTAGCAGTGCCTCCAGCTTTGTTCATACCATGTGCCATGAAAACATCTGAGTACCAGGAATCAACCTCTATATAAGATAAAGGGGAAAGTATTAACATGCTTCTTTAACAAATAAAACTATCTTTTTCATACTCAGTCTAGTCTAGATACACATACACATACACACACACACACACACACACACAGGTTTTATTCTCCTGTATTCATAATGTGATTCTTAGATTGATTCAGAAGCTACATATCATAAGAGCAGTAGGCTACCATACCCACAGCTACCGCATCTACAGATTCACCCACTACCAGATGGAAAACATTAATTGCACTTGTCTTGGACATGTCTGGACATTTTCCTTGTCATTCCTAAAACGATACAGTATAACAACTATTTTCCTGGCATTTATACAGATTAGGCATTATAAATTATCTGTGGATGATTGCAAGTGTACAGGACAATGAGTGTAGGTACAATGCAAATTCTATGCCATGGTACCTAAAGGGACTATGCACCTGCAGACTTGGGTACCCCCAAGAGGTCCTAGAACCAACCACCCAGGGATACAGAGGCACAACTGTCTTCCACGCTCCTCTCGGCTTCATATTTGTCATTTTAACAACCGCATACTATTCCTCTGAAGGGATGCCCCATGAGTCTTTCACCCCTTACTTTAGGGAGTATTTGTCTTATTTGCCTTCTTTAATTTTAAAATCCCACAATGCACTTGGAACTTTACCTTCTCTCTCCACCCCTTTTTGGGTCTCTTTTTAAGGTCTCTTTCTAGTGGTGGGACATTTTTATACCCACTGCCTGTATTTGATGTAGACACATGTAAAAGGCTTAAACAAGGAAGTAACCACAGAAATCAGCAGGAAGAGAGAAGCAGAGCCGGCAGCCGTGGTGGGAAGGGTTTAAAGGGTGCGGCCCTGGCTGATTGTCCTTATTCTCACCCCCAGCTATCTCTTTGATCCAGTTCAAGTGCCCTCCCACGGCTATGTCAACGAAGTAAGCAGCTGCAAGCTAGACGAAGACAACACTGTTAAATTAAAAGGCAAACAGAGCAGCAAGGTCCTGGTGCATAAAAGTGACCTTCAGATCGAGGGCTTGAAGTGGACCGAAAGCAAAGGCAGGCAAGATGGCTTCCAGGAGCCGTGCTGGTCTCAACAAGGACCACACCCTCAGGGGGCCCCAGTTGGGGGACAGTGTGCAGAGAAGCTTTGTGGCACCGCCAATGGCATTAGCCCCACGGGGAACTCCAGGCCCCACGAGGGTGACCAGGGCTCCTGGGCCAGTCCTGCAGACAACAGTCACCCGACTCAACCCTTCCTTGAAGGCGGGGACGCGGGGAGAGAGGACAGCGTGCTGCTGGTCTCGGAGCAGGAGCAGACCCAGGTCCCCCGAAATGCAGACTCCGGAGATCCTTCTCAGACAGAATGCATTGCCCCGGAAGAACAAGGCCATATCCTCCAGATTCCAGCCCCAGATTACCCTCCGCTTTGGGGCCCCAACGCGGATGGCGTTGACCACGGAGACAGAGATCGTCTTTTCCAGAACCCTCCCGAGCTTGAGCGGCTGCAGGGAAGTGGAGTGCAGGGACTGGGCGCGCCCTTCTCCATGAAAGGAAGCCGGGACTCATTCAATGAAGGCGTGGCCGTGGAAGGCCGGAGTGTCGCTCTTGCAGACGAGGGCCCCGCCCTTCTCGTGCCTGTGGCTGACTCTGGAGACGAGCAGGAGGATGCGCTTGGCTCGGATGGAGACGGGGGCGGGGAGATACTGGATGAGGATGCAGCGGTGGCGGAAGCCCTGGCCGCTTTGGAAGCTGCTACTGCTGGGGAAGATGTAGACGAGGCCGATTAGGGAAGGCAGTTGGTGCAGGCACGTCAGCGACTGTCATGCCGAGCGCTTGGAGATGCGTTGGCTCCTTAGGTGCATGGCGGATGGCCCTGCCAGCGCGTGCTGGGGCAGCCTTACTTGTTGTTTACATCCAGCACCTGGTCTGCTCGTCAGGACCTGTGCCATGCCACGTGGCCAATAGGTGGCATGCCGCTCTGCGTACTGGGCTGTCGCTCGTGACCCTAGAGTAACAATCGGAGTGGACCGCCGTGCCCGTGTCCGCTCCAGAGGCGGGAATTCAGCAGCCTGCTCGCCGAGCCTGAAAGGTCTCCAGAGAGGATGCTCTGAGACCCCAACCTTAACGCCAAGGGCATACAATCCTAGAGCGTTCTGTCTACTGTAAATTCTGCACCTTGCTTTCGAGAGCCAAACATTGGACCCCACCTAAAACGATGACCACCCCCACTTAAATAAGTGCCTCATGTGTCCCCAGCGCATGGCTTAACTTCAGGGACAGTCACCCAGGGAATTAGTAACTAGCCACGTGCTAGACAGAAAGTTAAGCCCAGCAGCCTGCAGGATGGGACAGGAGTCAGTCGCCAAGAGACAAATGGTGGCTACTCATTAGCTATGATGTGATATTAACACACCTTGACCTTAACCTTTTTTACATTATTACTTTTTAATCTCCTTTGGGATTGGGGAGGCCAACCAAAAATAATGCTTGTATCATATTTGGGTTTTAGGGTCATGAATTTGGGGACAGCAAAGCCATATATGAAGTGTTTCATGCCATTAAATGTCTGATGCTGATTAAAATATAATAGCCTAGGGGCTGGCGCTGCGGTGTAGCAGGTAAAGCCACCATCTGCAGTGCTGGCATCCCATATGGGTGCTGGTTCAAGTCCCGGCCACTCTACTTCCAATCCAGCTCTCTGCTATGGCCTGAGAGAGCAGTGGAAGATGGCCCAAGTCCTTGGGCCCCTGCACCCACGTGGGAGACCTGGAAGAAACTCCTGGCTCCTGGCTTCAGATCGGTGCAGCTCCAGCCATTGTAGCCATCTGGGGAGTGAACCAGTGGATGGAGGAATTCTCTCTCTCTCATTTCTCCCTCTCTCTCTCTCTCTCTCTCTCACTCTCATTCTCTCCCTCTACTCTGTAACTCTGCCTTTCAAATACATAAATAAATCTTAAAATAACAGCCTATGTGTGTCTCTGTCATAACTCAGAGGTGGTCCTAATTTTCTCAGGATGTTAGTGATATTTGATGTTTTTTCAATGTAAAGAGCAACTTGACAAAATAGCAGGGAAGGGACAGGGTGGACGTATGGAGCATGGCTTGGGCTGGCTGACCCTGGAGTTCAAGCTCTAGATGCATGACTGCATGTGCCAATCTTACTCAAAGAAGTATGTGGAGAGGGCATTGCAGCGGAGCAGGTTAAGCTGCCATTTGGGATACTCGCATCCTACATCAGAGTGTCTAGGCTCCAGTCCTGCCTCTGCTTCCCATCCAGCTTCCTGCTAATGCACACCATGGGAAGGCAGAGATTGGAGGTCACACCCATGGGTTCCTGCCACCCACATGGGAGACTTGGAGTTCCTGGATCCTGGCCTCAGCCTGGCCCAGCCGCGGCTGTTGCAGACATTTGGGGAGTGAATCAGTAAATGGAAGCATTCTTATTTCTCTCTCTGTCTCTCTCTGTTTCTCTCTCTCTCTGTGTCTCTCTCTCTCCTGCTCTACATTTCAAATACATAAAAATACAAATACACATTTAAAAATATGAGCAAACAGCTGGCGCCGCGGCTCACTAGGCTAATCCTCCACCTGCGGCGCCAGCACACCGGGTTCTAATCCCGGTCGGGGCGCCGGATTCTGTCCCGGTTGCCCCTCTTCCAGGCCAGCTCTCTGCTGTGGCCTGGGAGTGCAGTGGAGGATGGCCCAAGTGCTTGGGCCCTGCACCCCATGGGAGACCAGGATAAGCATCTGGCTCCTCCCTTTGGATCGGCGCAGTGCGCCAGCTGCAGCGTGCCGGCTGTGGCGGCCATTGGAGGGTGAACCAACAGAAAAAGGATGACCTTTCTCTCTCTCACTGTCCACTCTGCCTGTCAAAAAAAATAATAAAAATATGAGCAAACCTCTGGATCTCAGCCTTCTAATTTATAAAAACAGCTCATTTGAGATATGAGTGAAGGATGCTCAGAACCACTTGGAAAAACCTAAATGTGGCTGATGCTTTTGCATGGTATTCTGCAATACAGGCCCTGAGAGCTGACCTTAGTGTGAGTTCCAACTCTGTCACATGACCTTGGGCAAGTAACATATCCCTTCTTGCCAATCTGTTAAGCGAGGATGATTTAATCATAGTATGCAATTGTAAGGATTGGGAGTGTGCAAAGGTATAGCATGTCCCTGTCACAGTAGGCATTCAAAAAATGATGTCTTATTAGTGTAAAAAAAATCCTTAAATTTTTTTGCATCCTCACAACTGAAAATGTGAACACTATAAAGTCTTTAAAATGTCATCTTTGCAATTAATCAACAGCAAATAGGCCTCCCTGTATCTTGCAGGTTGGCTCCCTGACAAATGCCTAACACCTTTCCCTGCATTGGTTTGCCATGGTAACAGTAAGCTACATTTACATACAGGTAACTCAGCCCTTAGAAAACAAATGAATTGGTAATTGCATTGCGCACTGTGTTTAGCACACTAGGACACCAAATGCTTACTATTTTACAGTGTGCATTCCTTCAACAGTTTCCCAGAGGTATCCATTGGGATTGTGTGCAGCTGCATATGGCAAATGGCTTATAGAAAGATTGGTTGATTTGCCTCCAAGGTTAAAGTCTGGGGGTGGAGCTGGCACTATGGCATAGTGGGTAAAGCTGCTGCCTGCAGTGCTAGCATCCCATATGGGCACCGGTTCAAGTCCTGGCTTCTCCACTTCTGATCCAGCTCCCTGCTAATGCACCTGAGAAAGCAGAAATGGCCCAAGTGCTTGGGCCCCTGCACCCATGTGGGAGACCTGGAGAAGCTCCTGACTCCTGGCTTCAGCTCAGTTCAGTTCCAGCCATTGTGGTCATTTGGAGAGTGAACCAGCAGATGGAAGACTCTCTGTCTCTCTCTCTGTCTCTCCCTCCCTCCCTCCCTCCCTCTCTGTAATTCTGCCTTTCAAATAAATCTTAAAAAGTCTTGGGGCAGCAATCCAGAGCATTGGGCATTCCATGTATCAGTGACCCATGCCTTCTACCACTTTGGTCTTCTGGTCCAAAATAGCTGCTCAGGATCCAAACTGGCCCATGGTCATGGTTTCCTCATGGACCAAAACAGCTGCTGTGAGTCCTGTTATTCCACTTGCTTTCTCAGCAGGAAAAGTGATAGAGTCAAAAGCCATGCTTCCTCTCCTGTAAAGTCCTCCCAGAGGTGTATCCACTTATGTCTCACTGGTCAACATTTGGTTACTTGGCTACATCTAGCTGCAATGGAGGCTAGGACAGGCTGTCTATCTATGTGCATGGCTTTCTCACGTGAATTTGGGACATGGTCACTGAGAAGGGGAAGAATGGGCATGGAGCTTTGAGGTGGTCAGCTTGTGGTCGCTGCTGTACCACACCCTTAAAATTTAACAGCTTGGACACTTGTGGTGCCAGCATCCCGTATCAGAGAAATGGTTCAAATCCCAGTTGCTCTGCTTCCAATCCAGCTGCCTGCTAATGCGCCTGGGAAGGCAGCAAAGGATGGCCCAAGTCTTTGGGACCCTGACACCCATGTGTGGGACTGGGATGGAATTCCAGACTCCTGGCTTCTGCCTGGACCAACTGTGACCATTGCAGCTACATAACAGGTGGAAGAAGAAAGCTCAGGTGCGAGTCGGGATAAGGGAAGGATTCATGCCTGCAGGTCTCTTTCTCTTGCCCAGGAAAACACCTCCATAGCTACACATGCAGTAACTTTACATTTTAGAACTGCGGCAGCGATCTCACCCTCTGAAGATCCCTGTTTGTGAACAACTGCTTCAGAAAATTCAACAGATGACCAAGAATTTCAAGATGTTGTTTAAGCAATCCTTACAAACAGAGAGGAAGAGACACACACAGAGAGATCTTGTATCCCCAGTGTTCAGGCTCCACCAGAAGGTGTCAAAGGTAAGTCAGAATCTTGAGGGAGGAGCAACTGCAGGTTTTAGTTTTGTCCACCAGGCTGTCTGGCAGCTGACTGAGTCTGCTGCTGTGTGTAGTATCTTCTGCACTTGGTGCCAGATCTCATCGCAGTGGTGATGTTGATAAGACAGACCCTTTGCAAACCTTCCGGGCAATCTGAAAGCACAGGAACCCTCTGATTGTAAGGCGCCATGGTTAAACACAGACACAGCCCAGCCCTGTCGCCACCGACGCATCTGGGCACACCCTGATCCTGGAAAAGATGAATACGTCCCTGGTTCATTCTCATGGCATGCCAGCTACAGATCTGGGAGGAATCTGCGTTCAGGGCGCCCCCTGGGACAGGCAGTGGTGGCACACTGAAGTAGCGACTTCAGGCAAATCTCAACTTAGGGCACCATCTAGTGCTGAAGTGGTGTAAGTGTCCAGGCTCAGGGAAGAGCAGATGCTTAGAATTTCCAGGACAGCCACAAACTAAGCTAAATCATGAATACCGGAAAAAACAACCTTTCAGCACACAGACAATATGACATGCCAACAATCACCAAGCACGCTCAGGGATCCATGACCTCACCTAACAAAAAAATAAGCTTCCAGAAGCCAGCCACCTAGGATCTGACACATCCAAATGCTTGGATAAAGGATTTTAATTTGGGGGGCCAGCGCTCTGGCATCCCATGTGGGTGCTAGTTTGAGTTCTGGCTGCTCCACTTCTACTAATGTGCCTGGGAAAGCAGTGGAGGATGGCCCAGGTCCTTGGGCCTCTGCACTTTTGTGGGAGACCTGGAAGAAGCTCCTGGCTTTGGTTTGGTCCAGCTCTGCCATTGCAGCCATTTGGGGAGTGAACCAGGAGAAGGAGGACTGATCTCTCTTTCCCTCTCCCGTTCCCTCTCCCTCTACCTCATCCTCTTCCTCTCCCTCTGTCTTTCTCTTTCTCCCTATAACTCTGCCTTTTGAATAAATAAATTTTTAAAAAGCATTTTAATTTGTTTTAAAAAAAAAGTATTTATTTGAGAGAGAGCAATCCTATCTACTGGCTTACTCCCCAAATGCCCATACCAGGTGGGCATTGCAAAGCAGGGAGCTGAGACCTCAACCCAGTCCCTTGTGGATGGCAGGGACCCAATTACTTGAGCCATCACCATTGCCTCCCAGAGCCCACGGTAACAGGAAGGTAGAATCAGGAGCCAGAGCCAGAAATCCAGCACAGGTACCCCAGCGTGGGACATGGGCATCCTAGCTGGCATCTGGATCCCCAGGCCAAATGCCACCCCTGATTTTTGTTTTTCTTCCGTCTCTCTGTCAAGTCTCTGTTGCAGTATTAAATGCCTCTTAGGGCATTGCAGTTCAAGTCCCAGGTGAAGTTCTAGGGTCACTGCCACCCAAGTGACAGACACAGATGAAGATTCTCATTCTGCCCCCCCCCCCGTGTGTGTGTGTGTGTGTGTGTGTGTATGCACTCATGCCTCCCTCTCTGTCACCCTACCTTTCAATAGGTAAATCATAAAGATGAAAAAATAGGGGCCAGCATTGTAGCATAACGAGTTAATCTACCTCTACCTCCTGGATGCCAGCATCTCATATGGACACTGGTTCAAGTCCTGGCTGCTCCACTTCCCATCCAGCTCCCTGCTAATGCACCTGGGAAAGCAGCAGAAATTGCCCAAGTCCTTGGAGCTCTGCACCTGTGTGGGAGACCTAGGTGAAGCTCCTGGCTCCTGACTTCGGCCTGGCCCAGCCCCAGCTGTTGCAGCCATTTGGGGAGTGAACTGGAGGATGCAAGATCTCTCTGTGTGTGTCTCTTCCTCTCTGTCTGTAAGGATGCCCTTCAAATAAATAAAATAAATCTGTTTTAAAAAATAAAAAAGAGTGGACTGGCGCCACGGCTCAATAGGCTAATCCTCCACCTGCGGCACTGGCACACCAGGTTCTAGTCCTGGTCGGGGCGCCAGATTCTGTCCCCGTTGCCCCTCTTCCAGGCCAACTCTCTGCTGTGGCCCGGGAGTGCAGTGGAGGATGGCCCAAGTGCTTGGGCCCTGC